GAGTCAGTTCAAGAGCGAGCGAAAGGAGCAGTGGAGTGGGCGAAGAGGAGATGCAGGAGGATGGCGAATGACTCTCCCAGCTCACCATCCCTGCCTTATATCATGCCTGACACCTTAGCGTCCCAGACCCATGCCTCTCACACAGACGCAGAGACGTACCTTCAACCCACCATCCTCCGCGAAGACGGCCCCAGCGGTTCCCGCACCCGCCCGCACCATGGCTGTCAGTCTGCTGCACATGCAGCATGCGTCCGTGTATCGTGGGTTCCGTGACAGGATCTGGCCTGACACTAGCCATGTCCGGTACACCCGGCATGACATGTCGCATGGCGGCGGGCGCAGGATGTCAGACGGACACTGTGGGGTGCCCCAGCGCAATCTGCGATGGGCTTCGCAAGATACTATCTCGGAAGCTCCATCACCACCCGCACCAGTGCGAAATTGAATGCACCAAATTCAAGCGGCGAATTCAAGGAGCGAGTCCACCACTCAGCTGCAGCTCATCCTGGGACACACCGCACTATTAGCATAGTATTAGACCCTCGACGCCACACGGTACCGTCGGCAAAATATTCTACTTCGTCCGTGGCAAAGAGCTCTTGGGTAACCAGCGGGAGGCTAGCGTCGGAAGAATCTCTCGCAGGATTCGCGTCACGGAAGATCCGCCAGACATACGCAGGCTTGGCGCTGCACACTCTACTCAAGTTTGAGTCTGTGTGAGCCGGCCTGTGATCGAGATCGCAACATTCCGTTCATGTCTTCGCCCTGTCCGAAGCCAGCACTGTAAAATCCAATCTCACCTCTCAATCCTGAAGTCTCGGCAAAATGGATCGTTCTCGCGCTGTGCATTGACACACGATGCCCTCATCAGCGTGTCAACAGAGCCGTGCAAATATTTGAACAGCTGAACATGACATCACCAGACGTTGGTCAAGACTATAGTTCATGCGGACACTGGACAAGCAAGCTGGCTGAGAATACGATGAGGACTGCCGCCAGCGAGAGTGCCTAGCCCAGGAATCGGAAGCCACCGATCGATCCGACTGACGGTGCCTGCTCTCACCGTCAGCTGGCAGCCTTCGAGCGTCTCCTCCCATTCCCCGAATTATATCCATTTCTTGGATATCATCTCTGAACACATAGCTTTGAGTACATGTTCGCGCAATACGCAAGAACATTCCTACTGGTTCATGCAGTCACTCGAATGGAATTATGATAAGTTCAATACCACTCGCGTCGATAGAGTAGCGACGGCTATTTTAAGTGGCCTCCATTGTCAATTCAGATACGACAGCATCGGACCAGACCGCAGAGATCGTGTCAATGGTGGTGCCATGAGGCAAGGAGGTTCAGCTTACTTACTCGTCGTCATTCGCGCATGAAGAATGATTCCGACAACAAACTTGAGTTCTGAGATGCTATGATACTGACCAGAATCCGACTCGGACTCACCGGCGCGCGGGGAAAGTGGCAGCGTGATTCGAGTGTGAGCCGGTCTGAGTGAGCGCCACCGCGATAACGAAGAAAGAAACTCCGTCCCAATCCTAGCAGACGGAAGCGTGCGCCGGACATGCCGCGGAGTCAATAATGCGATCTGGGCCACCGCCGGCCAGATACCATTTTCAGTTGAAGCCGTTAGAAACGCCGTCACGCAGACAACTGCACTGCTGCAGACAAACGGTCTATCTTTCACCCGACGAGCAATCTCTGCAGCTCTCACTTTGTGCCTGGAGGGTGGAGGATTTGACAGATATTCCGTGAGGTAAATCTTCCGACACATTCTTCCCATGATGCGCTCCATTCGTTTGCTACCATGTCGACGCTGCTTAACGCTGAGACTCGACGAGTCGGGCATACTCCTCGGATTTTATCCAACGTTTGCTAATTGTTCATTGGTGCATGACGAAGGAATCCAGGACATTCGCTACTATGTGAAATCCTGCATCAGCTGAGCCACTGTGCTAAGGTCTCTGGCATCGCGTTCCAAATTGAGCTGTGAGTTCACAGTGTTTGATTTAGCATCCTGCACTCATCCTCCCGAAATAGACCTGTCACTTTGGGCTGGTCCATAGTCCAAGATCTGTATGCGTGCACGCCCGTGTACCCACGGTGAGCGGACACAGTAGGGCACGTAGCGATCGTGTTGACAGCCACCGGGTGGCAGCAGGCACTCGATCGTGGCCGGAACTGCAGAGATGGTGAACATGGGTGTGTGTCGCCGGCAGACGCATCTTTCGCCGTCTGTGGTTAGGAGGAAATAAAAGACGTCGACCATGAACGAGAACAGCCAAGGTCCCATCCTCTTCCGTCCACTTCCGTTCTCTTGCATTCCCTGCAGTCACCCTCAGCCACTACAGCCGCCGCATTTGCCATGGCAAAACTCCTATCGTTCGTGTTCTGTGCTGTCCTTCTCTCCGCCACGTCCACACTTGCTCTCCCGACGCCGCTCGAGGGCACAGTCGTGGTGAGCAACAGCTCCAGCGTCTCGTCGAGGTCGACCACGACGTCTGCGATCCCGGCAAGCGAGACGGTCGCGCCGGCGAGCGACGACCCGAACTATGTGATGTGGAACAC